TATATATATATATATATATATATATAGGGATCTCAGTAACAGTAATAATAAGTAATAATAATATTAATAATAATGAAGTTGGAGTCACACCATTTTTAATGCTGTCTTTTCCGAGACTGCGTCCATAGAACTGGTCATGAGTAATGTATCTGTCTGGGTCGATCTGGTACACCTGAGGTGAGAAGATGAGATCCATCAGAAACACTGCAATGAAGAGAAACATGAAAGAAGCTCTGTTTTTTGCTGTCTAAAATTGAGCATTAGCTAAATACACCACACAGACAAATATTAAACATTCGGAGTGTGCCTATGTATGAGGCCTTAATATGCTGTTCTACACAGGCATCTTACTAGGTTTAGAACAGCGCTGGAGAGACTGGCATGCATACAGACTTAAAACTGTGATGAGCCTCACTGAATAGATCCTTCCACACTACAAAACAAATGAACTAAACTGAAATAACATGGGAACCAAGAGCAACAGAGAGAGAGAGGGGGGAAAGGAAGGAGAGGGTGACAGCAGCTGGCAAAAATTCCCCAGCCCTGAGACACCGAAACCAATTAGGTGCAAAGAAACAAGAACACGCAGAAAGCAGAGAGAGAAGCTGATTTAACAGAGACTGAACAGAGGAAAAGAGTTGGAGACTTAATGGAACTCACAAGGCTGCAAAACCCGTCAATAATAAAGTAAAATGCAGCATCATTTCTACAATTTAATTATATTGAGATGTTTCCTGGGTCGATCTGTCTGTCTTTACTGTAAGAAAAATGCTGCACAGCAATCAAACTTGAATTAAACTTGTTTAATTCAATGATTAAGTGAAGCTGTGGGGAGCGACGGAGTGACATTGATAAAATGTCTCTTTTCAGGTGTAATTTATCATGATTTGTTTCAGATTAACAGAGAACAGATGTTAAAGCTTGCACCACTTACTGGCATTTAGACACAATGTGATTGGCCAGGTCAGGGGTTTCATACTTTTTTGATGCCAAGGGCCCCTAAATATGACAATCCCATCATGAGGGACCCCTTTCCAAAAATATAAATTCAGAAATATATATTTATACTGTCGTAGTACAACAACCCAAATAAATTATATAAATATCATTAGAAAAACATGTAATTTGTATTTATGTATATACCTGAAGAAAACATTTTCAATTACATTCAAATTTTTATATCACCAACAATTCAATCATCAATTCAAAGTCAGTTATTTTAGTATTATTTTTTTTATAGTATTATAGTATTTATTCATATTTAGGATTCAATTCAAAGTCAGAGAAAGGCATCAAAGGCAGTTTTACAAAGAATATTGGCAACAGTTGCCGAGGAAAACGTCCTACAAAGATATAACACTAGTACAGACTATTCTAGCAAATTTGTATTTTGCAAGAAACAGTGTTATTTTAGTATTATTTTTTTATTGTATTATAGTATTTATTCATATTTAGGATTGGCTTTTATTTTTATATTTTAATTTTTCAATTTTATTTTAAGTTTTAGTCATTTTGTTATGTGCTTTTGTTATTTTTATTATTTTTCTATTTCTATTTATAATTATTTTAGTACTTCACCTTCAACTTATTTGATTTAGTTGCCAAGCAACGTTTTTTTTCTTCCTTCCTTCCTTTTTTTTTTTTTAAGTTTTCCATCTAATGTTTATATGTTATTTCACTTCAGATTTATATCAATTAACGAAAAACTTTTTAAATAGTTTAAAAGTTAAAGAAAAAATACAAGGCAAGGAAGCAGAGTTCTTTCTTATAAAATTTGGGATTGTAAATACAATAAAATAATCTCATGATTACCAGTCTTTGGAAAGCATTTTTGAAAAGTACAATTTTGCAAATGTTAAATATTTACCTTTTAAAGGCATTTTAATAGATATTTCCACAGACCCCACAAAACAAATTCAGTCAATGAGCATAAAATGTCACTGTTTGTATCATGATAAATGCATCTTAATTGTATCTTGTCTCTTCTCATGTGACCTTCACAGCAAGTGCAGCACAATGAAGTGTAGAAAGCAAAAGCAGAGGAGTGTGTGCACTGACCGCTGGTTTCATCACAATCTTATCATCAAATGTCTTATCGGTATTCCTCAGAGGTAATTAACCTAGTGTCTGGATAAGCTCTGAATATTGATCAAGCCTTACAAGACAACAGATGGGGATTTCTGTTGAGCAGCATTGAAACCGAACCTTTAGAGCCCTCACTCGGGGGATCTGAAGCTTAATATTGTGTTTATGAACCCTCACAGTTTGTAATAAGAAAATCCGAGGAGGATACAGAGATAAAACAGCAGAAAAACGGGGGATCCTGCATAATGAGGATAAGGAAAGTTAATAAATCACACACACGATGTCTCACCCTCATGCCCAGTAACAGGAACCCGATCTCTTCCATCAGAGGATACTTGCTAATCTGTTCTTCATGTTTTTCTTGTGATGCTAATGGGTCATAACTTCTCTTCCCGATCTTCACATCCATGATGCAGGGCCGTAAGAACCATTTCTTTTCTTTTTCCTTTTTGATTTATTTTTATTTATTTATTTTCTTTCCTTGATTAAAAAAAAAAACAAAACAAAATAATGATAAGTATTAGTAGTAGTAGTAGTATTTTCTTTTCTTTTTAATTTATTTAATTTAATTTATTTATTTCCAATTAAGCCTGGAAATTACAATAAAAAACATAATAATAATGATACTAATACTACTATTACTAGCAACTAGTACTACTACTAATAATATTAATAATGAAGATGGAGCCAACTAAACATTTTAGAGCTTTATAATTTTGACTTTTCAAGATTTTATTAATTTACCATTTCCAGGTCTGGAAAGAGAACGAAAGAACGAAAGAAAGAAAGAAAGAAAGAAAGAAAGAAAGTAATGGGTCATAACTTCTCTTCCCGATCTTCACATCCATGATGCAGGGCCGTAAGAACCTCCTCGTCACATCCTCCAGTTTCAGATACAGCTCTGATGAGAGAAGAAGAGTTCTGAGAGAGTTTTTGTGGACCCAAGTGACAGAATCACAGCCTTTTTTTGTTTTGTTTTGTTTTTTTTGTATATTTTTATGCACACTTTTATGTCATGCAAACAATTGGTTTTCTGTGAAGTACACTGTTGTTGCAAATTCTGCTGATATGTCACCAATCCATGTTATCTATATGGCAAAAATGTAATCTAAATGGCAAAAATGACTGTGATAGCCTTGAAACCATTATGTGAATGTATTGAAAACTAATCTGTAATGTTTTGCATAGCCATCTTTTATTTGTCTGCAAAAGTGTGGGATAATTGTGTGTAAAACATTAATGAAAAACGTCACATTTAATGGAAAAAATCTTACTGACCCCAAAGCTTTGAACAAATATTATATATGGTCTAATAAATGTGTTAGTCATTTATTAGGCAAATAACAAATTGAAACAACTAAACAGTCTTTATTCACACATAATAACCAAAAAAACGTTATTTTATTTTTATTTTTGTATAGCCTCCTTTGGGCTTGATAACAGCTTGCATTCTTGCTGCCATTGTTTTTATGTACTTTCCCACAGTCTCTGTTGTAATTGACTTCCAAATAGTTTCTAGCTGTTCCCAAACTCTTGCTTTTGATGAAACATTCGTGCAATCTATCTTTTAATCCATTAAATCCCATAATAATTATATTTTAGCATGAGAAACACTACTGTGACTAAATAAATTATGTTATAATGTTAGTATTATTAGTATTTTTTATATATATATATATATATATATATATATACAAAAATACAATAAAAACAGCAATATTGTGAAATAGTATTACAACTTTAAAAAAAAGTTTTTTATTGTAATATATTTTACAATATAATTTATTCCTATGATGACAAATCTGAATTTTGTTGCTTAATTTTGTGGATTCTTTTTCCAGGATTCTTTGATGAATAGAAATAGTCTTTACTGTTACTTTTATAAATTTAATGGATCCATGCTGAATAAAAGTTTTAATTTTTTTTTTTTTTTTTTTACTCTTTTAAAAATCATATTGACACCAACTTCTGAACAATATAGTATTTTTAAGTAAAAATGTATATGCAACATTTTAAAAAGTAACTTAAAAATATAAACATTTCTGATTATTCCTTTGCGGTTGGGCCAGTGAAAATGTTGGCCGGGAAAGTGAAAATCTAAACTATAGACCCAACTGAATCTTCAGAAAATAATCATTACTCTTCAGTCCAACATTAAAACATCATTAAAAAGCAGTGATGATTTCGTCTGACTGTCTGAATGCTTCACGACTGATTTCTACAATCACACCGAACACTAAAATTAGTGATGTTTCAGAGGCCAAATTATAGTGTGTCAACTGATAAGACTCAATGACCAGTCAATTCTTTCTGACAAGTTAGTTCTCAGTGCTGTCGGCTGACACAGTGATTTATGGTGTGCCATTACCAGGATGGTCCCATACAAGCACAAGACAGCAGACAGAGAACGGCAGTGTAAAGTCCAATACTGATAAACTGAACACTCCTTTAAAGTACACAGATTATATACAGACTGAACAAACACATCACCCACAAAGCACATGTACTTTGGACACATGGTAACTCCCATAATGAGGCAGAAAATATGATTATATAAGCATCTGTATGAGCTTCCAAAGAACATACCACTGCTGGATTACATCCCACACCACATACCAAACCATCTGTCAATTATTAACACATTAGTAACCCTCTAAATTCACCAAACACAGATAACACTAACTAGAGCTGATGACCTTCAAGCTCAACTGCTAAAGAAACCGTTTTAATGAACGTGACTGCTGAGTTCAACCAGGACTGACACAACACGTCATTAGTGCTTTAAAGTCATTGAATCGCATCTGACCTTATTTATTTCCTTAATCAGTAATCTTGGTCTTATTATGCATCTGTGCATATTATTTCAAATAAAACAAAGGTTTGCCTTCGTACACACTAAAAAATGCTGGGTTGTTTCAACCCAACTTTGGGTCAAATTTGGACTAACCCAACTTTTGGGTTAAAAATTGAATGTAAAAATTTAACCCAATGGTTGGGTTAGTCCATATTTGACCCAAAGTTGGGTTGAAACAACCCAGCATTTTTTAGAGTGTAATCTTATCAGAATGTAACAGCATGCTCCACCCCTGGTGAATATCCTGTTTTATTTTTAAATACATAAGATTATGGAAGTAAAATGGGTTGCAGATGTTATTTCATGTTCACTATCTATTTATATAAACAATACTGGACATTCTCAGCTAACGTTTGGCTAACGTTCTCTCAAGGTTCTCTCAGAGTTATGAACAAACATTCTTCCAGTAATGTTAATAGAACACTTGTTCAAAGTTATCTGGCCTTTAATAAGATTCTCAAAACATTAGCACAAAAATGTTATTTATACAGAGTTCATGGAAATTTTTGTTTTCTAAAACGTTTATAAACATTCATCTGACATTTTTTAAATGTTACTACTTGTTTCAGAACGTTCAGAGAATATTAAAATATAACATTCCCATAATGTTTGAAAAATGATAAAAACTGAATATTCCTTAAAGGTGCTGTATGCAGGATTGACATTTTTTAAGTGAAAAATTGACATTTTTTTAGTGGTTGAACTAGGTATTGCAGTCCAAATTAAAAAATATTGGAGAGGGTTTTTTTCACCCGGCCCCTCCTCCTCAGACTTGACGCACACGCAGGTTGCCAGATTGACGACACCAACTGGAACGAGCGCACTTGACAATGAATGAAATGAAATACGCTGTGTTTTCCGCCAACTGGCAACCCGGGATTGCCGAAATACAATTGGGTAAACTGGCAGTGGGCGGGTTTCACAAATCAAAACAGAGACCGACATTCCGGCCCGGAACACACATTTTCAAAGGAGAATAACTGACTGTAGCATTGTTTGTCAGATAAACAAGTATGTTAACTTAGCATGTTTCTTAAATATCTGCAAACACATTATGGTATTTTTATGCTTTAGTAGAGTCAAAAACTTACATACAGCACCTTTAAACGTTCCCATTACCAGGAAGGAAAAAAACGTGTAAAACATTTGAAAAACTGGATGTTTTGAACGCCCAAAGAAAATTCCAAAGTAATGTTCCAATAATGTTTGCAAAATTATAAAGCTGAACGTTGTTTAAAACATTTACAGAACTGGATGTTTTGAACATTCAGAGAACATTCAAGAGTAATGTTACCATAATGTTTGCAAAATGAATCAACAGAATGTTCCCTTACTATTTGCATAACCAGGAAATGCACATTTTGAATGTTCAGGGAAAATTCAGAAATAACATTTTCATAACTTAATTGGAACGTTAGCAAAGCACTCTTAGAACATCTTTTTGTTTGTTGGGTTGATGTTTTATCTCACCATGTGGTGACTCTCTGTGGCCTCCATGTGCCATAGTACACTTAAAAATAAAGGTGCTTCACGATGCCATAGAAGAACCTTTTTGTCTAAATGGTTCCATAAAGAACCTTCAACATCTGAAGAACATTTCTGTTTCACAAAAGGTTCTATGTGGCGAAAGAAGGTTCTTCAGATTACAAAAAGGTAAGAAAGAGATGGTTCTTTAAAGAACCTTTAACTGAATGGTTCTTTGTGGAACCAAAAATGGTTCTTCTATGGCATCGCTTGAAGAACCTTTTGAAGCACCTTTATTTTTAAGAGTGTACTTGGGAAGATGTTGTTGCAGGTCCAGTAGCTTTTTATCTGTGCAGTTTTAGCAAATACCTGTAAACATGTGAAAAGGAAAACATCCAAAAATAATGTTTTCATTAAGTTTTTAGAACATATTTTTGTTTGCTGGGTATAATCTTTCATTCTGACACTCTCAAAGAGTGAATATTTAACTGAAAATAATGAGTGATTATTTGTTGAAAACAATTGTGCTGCGTAATATTTTTGTGGAAATTTTTTGAGGATCCTTTGATGAATAGAAAGAACAAAAGAACAGCATTTTTTAAATAGAAATTTCTTGTAACATTATAAATGTCTGTACTGCCACTTTTGATGTAATGTATCCTTGCAGAATAAAAGTATTTTTACTTAATTTTAACAGAAACTTAAAGTTAAAAAGTTGATTTTTGCACTGTGCTTGGGCTTGTAGATGTTTTTACTGTTATTCAGGGTGTTATTTTGGTTCAGATATTTGTCCCCCCGACAGGGGCGTTGCACAAGATCCCGGGCCCTATGCATAGCTTTCTACATCTTGATGTACATATCTCAACAATAGCACATTCTGTTCAGTGTGAGAGATGTCTGGTGTTGAGTCACATATCACTGAGAAGTAAATTGCAGCTTCTCTTTCCACCAGGATAGTGTTCAACACTCTTTTGCCACAGAGCTCAATTCATTCATTCTGCATCTCAGGACTTAGATACTGTGTTAACCTTGACCCCTCTTTCTTCTTAACATAAACAAACTGCGTGCAGATGGACTAAACCATTTGGCGCATTAGCAAGGGGGGTGGGATCATGAAACCGTCAGTCAATCAACCAAGTTATTCAGCCAATACACAAAATTTACGTTTCATCTGACATTCATTATGAAATTTAATTAGGAAATGAAAATATCCAGGTAAAATAAAATATATTCCATACTTTTCAAGGGCCCTCTCTTCCTTTGGGACCCTGGTAATCAGTACTGGTTTTACCCCCAGTCTGACGCCCCTGCCCCCCGACATTATTTGCATCGTTGTACAAACTATTGCTCACAGTGGTGTGGATTCATCTTAGTTACCCGTGTGTAGAAGTTCATCTCTCGTGGGCCTCTCGGAGGAGCTTGTAGCTGTTTCAGGATCGTTCCATCAGGATGCTGCAGAACACCTGTGCAATTATAGCGAAGCAAACACTGAAAACCTGCTGACACTTCATCATCAAGACAACTGTAAATATTCTGAGTGTGAAAGATTTTATGGACGCCAGGAAAACATCTGAAAGAAAACTCAGGAGAGAAAAAAGTCACACAAATGCATGAGTGTCATTATAAGAATTACATTATATTATAGCTCAGGATTTAATAAATACCTAAAGAGGTTGACAGGATGGACTTTGGATCAATTTAATGCATCCTTGCTGAGTAAAAATATTAATTTCTTTCAAAAAAGAAAAATTGTACTGAAATGTTATGTCCATTTTAAAGCTTGATAGTCACTTGTCATTGTCTTGAAAATATCCATCAAAACTTCTTTTAAAATCAATGAGTTTGGAATGACATGAGGGTATAATACAGAATCTGTGGGCGAACTATTCCTTTAACACAAGAAAAGACAAAGTGCTGCCTGGTGACAATCTGACAGTCCATCAGATAACATCTTACATCTCATTCGTTCTGAAAATCCCCATGACAGAGCCACAAATGACACATGAGAGTTACTACAATAGAGGAAATGCTGTCATCTGACTGTTGGCAAAAGCAACTTAATTTTTCCTTTTCGTAGAAATCAATCACCATGACGATATCCCATGTTAGTGACAAATCCTGTGACCCTTTAAAAAAATCCCTCTAATATGATATTTTGCCCAATTCAACCTAGCAAGCCTGTTAGAACAACCTGTGTGAAGTCTTCCACAGTTGACAACGGGATTTGCTCTCAGCAAAATGTCCTAATGGAATGTGTGCACGAATCTTATTGGAATTTCTATCACAATTTGGGAATCAGTAGTACATGGACTATTGTAATTACCCATAGAATAAAATGTCATATATAGGAGTAGGAAAGCAATTTAAACTAAATCTTTTAGGATTTTAAGAGATTCCCTTTTGTAGGCTATTCCAACATTGTTCTAATGCGATTCTACAAAAGACTCCTGTGGGAATTTCGGTTTATCCAGGATACCGTTTTATTCTTATAGGATTTTTTTTTATCCCTTTAGGATTGGTAGCAAATTATGCTAGAAATAGGTCCTGTATAAACTTTTGATAGGTGTTCACCCTAATCCAATCTAAACATGATGAACGCCATACTTTGGACAAACAAGATAACTAAAGATTCTGACATCCTTCATTGTTCCATAACTCCCATGTAATGCGAATACCGTAAATTTAAACATAAATTATCAACAACAACAAAAAACACATGAAGAACATCAGAAGCTGAGATGTGTCTAAACTGGCCAGTGTTATTGATCCCGCATTTATGTCCGGCCACCTGATGAGAGAAAGGCACACATCCATCCAAGAGCACCTGCTTTACTGACCCATTCTTATTATTTTCTTTTTCCAGTTTTCCAGCGTTCGAGATGATCAGTCCATGATTTGACCATCTGCAGACATGTCCAGCGTCAACTTATCCAACTTTAACAGAAGCTGGCAAAACTTTGGTTAATCATTTTCCATATCTGACAGTTATTCTAAAAGAACATAAACATGGTCATTAAAACTCAAAATGTCTCTTTCGCGCTCCTGGAGCCCCGAGTGTTTTTGTACATTCACTCGCATATGTGTCCGTACTTTTAATCTACTCCAGAGCGCGACGCGTTTCGGGTTACTGAATGGTTCGTGACGTAGGCACGCAGTTTACCAATCAAAACCGGCGTTCGCAGAGGTTGCGTTCGTACGCGACGCGTCGTGACGTGAGCACGCGGTGCACCAATCCAAGCTGGCGTTCTCGCGTTACGTCTGCGCTAACCACATTTAATTGTAGTTTTTACTTTTATAATTCCGACTCCACTCATGGTTTTAACAAAACAAGGCACACTTGAAACTCTGCTTTTAAATTACTTAAAGTCACTGCTCAGCAAGAATTAGGGTACATTCATTATTTTATTCAACATTTTATTCAAGCGACACAAACTGAAATTGTGAGCTGTTCCATAATTAAAGTTTTACACTGAATGTTGTGCTCTCACAAAATCAGTTTGAAACTGTTTATTTAACATCACACTTTTATAATGTACTTTTCTGAGAGAGAAAACACAATAATTTCACAGAAAAGACAAGGTCATCAAAACATGATTTTGCTCTATGTAACATTTTGTTCTGTTATATCAATAGATTCTCGCCTTCCACAAGTACATCTATCTGAATGGCAAGAGGCAAAATCCTCCAAAGTAGATTTTAAATGACAAAACGGAACCTGTCAGATTCTGTGACTATGATTCAAAATATATAGATATAGAAGAATGCCACTTTAGATATGTTTAATGTCAGTGATCAGTTAAGGTCACATGTGAAGTTTAATACATGGAAAGAAAACATGAGAAGATGGCCATTTGGTTTTCATAATCATTTCACATTCATATTTATCTCCTACAACATACAAGATTCAGTTCAAATTCAGACTAACGCGTTTTTTCAATTCAAGTTTTTGTCTCTATTCTATCAATAATATGACCAGAAGAATATCCCATAAAGTCTAAGAAGATAAAAATTGAAAACCGATATGTATTGCTCACACATTTAATCCCATCAGCCCTGACCACACATGTAAAGCGAAGACACACTAATCTCTATCGCTGAGAACGGACTGTCATGAACAGTGAAAAAGGCTCAGGCCTCCTTGCGTTTTATGATCAGAGGACCAACGTTGTCTCCCGTTTCCTGATTGTGTTTAGCATGTGCGCCATCACAGTATGGAAACTATAAGAGACCAGAGAAAACAATTGAATTAAAGATGTGTCACGGCAAGTTTGATATCACTGATGCTAAAAACCAATGAATCATATCATGCAACCAAAAAGTGACCATGCATGAATTTTGAATGCTACCTTGGAGAAGTTTTTCTTTAAATGAATTAAGTGTATTCAGCAAGGACTCATTCAATTGATCAAAAGTGACAGTTAAGGATTTCACAATGTTACAAAAGATTTCTATTTCAAATAAAGGCTGCTCTTTTGAGATTTTCATTAATCAAAGAATCCTGAAACAAAATCACAGTGTCCACAAAAATATTAATCAGCACAGGTGTTTTGAACATTAATAATAAGAAGAAATGTCTGTTGAGCAGCATATTAGAATGATTTCTGAAGGATCATGTGACACTGAAGACTGGAGTAATGATGCTGAAAATTCAGCTTTGTATCACAGGAATAAATTACATTTTAAAATATATTACAATAGAACACAGCTATTGTACATTGAAAAAAAAATATATTTTACAATATTACTGTTTTTACTGTATTTTTCATCTGATAAAGGCAGACTTGGTGATCATAAGAAACATCTTTCAAAAACATGACAAAATCTTATTGATGCTCAGCTTCTCTTTTCTTTGGATGAAATGGATATTTTTCCCTTTTGCTGCCTTTAAGATCACTGTTCTAAATAGCCACTAGAGATGTTCCTATGACCTCAGAACAATAATAGTCACATGGAATTTGAAATTCAGGTGATTGGCTAAAAATTTCAGGAGCTGAAAACCCACAAGCAAAGATGACGACTGCTTCCAAAATAACATATTTGGACATACTATTGTTCACATACAGTTTTTTGCCTACTATATAGGGGAGAGCGGGGCACAAAGTAACACTTTTTGACTATCTCAGTTTGTGTAAATCCACATGGGGTTCAGAATATATATATTTTTTATCCACAGTAATGTTACACGTGTCAAATATGTCGCCTTGTTTCAGGATTACAGTGTATACGTTTTTCTTTATTTACCCTCAAAAAATGGAAGTGAAATGTGACAACATGCCCCGTAGGTGGGGTACATTGTAACATCTGAGGGGCACGTTGTAACATGACCAGATATGACAGCTTAAAATGTTATCTGATCGAATGAAAAAAATATATACAAGACAAACTAAAATATTTTGTTAAAATAAAAGAATGGCGTTTTTTAAGAATTAAAAATAATCTGATTTTGGATTTTGACAATGAACACATTGCAATCATGCTTGGGACGGCCCACATAATATATGGGACTGATTGTGTTTGCCCATTTCTAACCCATATGGGTTGGCCAAGCAGGCCCCATATGTGTTTCCCCATTCAGAACCCACATAGAGATTGCCCATGTGGGTTCTACCTTGGGCCCATGTAGGCAGCCTATATGGGACTGATTGTGTTTGCCCATGTCTGACCCATATGCGAAACCCATATGGGGGCCATATGTGTTGCCCATTTTGAGCCCATGCCCTCATTTCCCATTAGTGACCCAACTAGGCCCCACATGGGAAGCCCACCTGGTTTTGCCCATGTGAGACCTACTTAGCTGACCTAAGTGGGCCCCAGATAAGATGCCCATTTTGGGACCATGCCCACTTGGTACCCATGTGGCCCAAGTATAAACCATGTGGGGCCCACATATACATGTTGGCTGGGGTGTTACAACGTGCCCCATCTGCGCAACTGGCATTTAAAGCTGGTTAGTGTCTTCTGCTAGTTATCAAAGCATTAAAAAACTAGCTAAACTGATAAATAACAGATTGGAGATTAATATAATAGCAGATTTGTTTCATTTTAAATGATTAATAAAAACTGAGATGAAAAATGTACTTAAGCCAGAATTTTAATTTTACTATGGTAAAATAAATGTTCAGTGATATCTTCAAAAGATTTTTGAATTTTGGCACACTTTTTTTTCTATATAGTGTTGATATGCTAACTAATAAATACTGTAAATTTTGTTATGCTAGCATGTGTGGAAATATTCAAACCAAGTGTGTTACAACTAACCCCACGTTACTTTATGCCCCGTGCTCCCCTAGTAGGGAAGTATGTAATTTCGGATGCAGCCAACAAGTCACCTATTGCAGGGCCAGGTCAATGGCAGTTGGATCCGCCCCTGCAATACGTGACTAGCAAGCTTTGCATGAGTTAAATGGGAATGTTAACAGACAGGTTCAAGATAAACACCTCCTTGTACCAATCACACCCAACTGTACATGAATTATATGTACATAATAAACAGTTCTCCTGATTTCATGAGGGTTAGATTCAGACTCTGGCATCTGCATGGCATTTTATTTTCAGTTTCTGCAGGAGTAACCGTCCCTACTGCGATTTGCAAAATGGACGTCTATAAACATACAAACACTCACTTTTCTGATGCAACTGTTTCTCTAATTTGAGTGTTGATTCAAAGTTAAAAGTTTCTAGTGTCTCAGAATTTTTCATTAAGCTCTTTCTCACCTTTTTGGATCTCCAGCACCTACAGAACAAGGATTCGTCACCCAGGTCCTCAATGTCGAACGCATGCACCACTTTGGGGTTGTCTTTCTGCAGATCAAGGTTGACCTTTGGCTTAACACATTTGCTTTTGCTGAAAAATGTTTTGTAGATGAGGATTCCCACTGCTGCAGCTCCAAATGTCACAGACACTGCAGTGATGATCTCAGCTGAAGGAGGGCAGAAGACATCTTACCATACAGAGCCTTTTACTCCAATAACATCACAGTCTAAATGTTAGTTAAAATCCATGTTAGTTATAAATAACCCATTTTTAGATATACATGTATAAATTAAAATAATAATTTATGTTATTTAAATATAAAAAAATAAATACTTAAAAGAATACCATTATATTAATATTGCTATTATTAATACAGTTACTTAAATTAATTAAATAAAACTAAAGATAATAAATATTTGACTCCAATAACATCACAATGGCAGATCTACTGTTTGAACCATTAAACGTTGAATCTGCATTAAATAAATTATCATAGTAACTAAATCCATGTCAGTTATTGAAACTAAATTTAATTTATAGAAACCTGATAAGAACAGAGATAAGTTAGCCTAGTCTATTAGATTCTCAACGATGCAGCGAGCAAAAGAGAACAAATGGAGACATTCAGAGACGCTCGCTTTGATATAATAACCTGCTGATGAGTTTATGAACCACATCTTCATTATTTCAGTTTATTTCAGTAGTTTCTATTAAATTACTGCTAAACTCCAACCATAAACACATACACTTGGGTAAAGTTGGTTTTATATTCGCATTCACAATATTCACACATTTCCGCGTTCAATAACTTTCTAATTATAAGTGCAATAAAGTTATTTTTTTGCATATTCTAATCAGCGACATCGTTGTCAACCTACTTCATTCTTGTCACAATCGCTCAAAGTGGCCAAGTATTGTTTTGATGGCATATTTACTTGCGAATGTCCACTGAATGTCCAATGTAGTGCGGGAAATTCGTTAGGGACCGTCTAAAAAGTTCTAATTGTTTTTCATTGTGTGCAAACAGACAACTATGCTTTAGCCAACTACAGATGTACTGGCAAATATCACTTACATTATCTAATGCTATAGATTTTCCTTTAGCAACAATAAAAATAGCATTATAACGATGCTGTTTGAAAAGATGTTTAGGAAATTAAAAAGAATGAACATGTACATGAACTGTAATTTGGTAACAATCCAGAAAAGTGGAAAATCACATGTAATGTCCTGAGCACAGTTAATGGCATAGATAAAACAACTGTTTTTATTTATTTATTTGCCTCAAAATGAACAAGAACTGTGTTGATGTGTTGGTTTTAACAATGACATATGATTTATTTCAATAGGTTTGGAAA